CTAAATTTTATGTTTTAGAGTAGAAATTTATATTACATGAGTAAACATTAGTTCAACGGAGCCCAAAGTGATCGAATGACCAAAAGAAACCCAAAGAAAAACAGGATAACTACGCAATTGATTGAATATCTATTAAGGGCTATAAATAATCATCCAGGGTCAACCTCTCGGCCAAATGGAGGGACAACTTTTTCTCATATAAACGCTCAATGAAGTAGCTATTGCCTCGGTTACCCGAGATTTTGACTATGTTTTTAACATTGAGATTCCTCTTATAAGGATTTATAATGACGGTAGGCTTACAATGACAAGCGTTTTAATTTTAAGGACCTCACTTTCGAATTGATTCAGTTTGGCCAGGGTTTTGAAGGGTTCGTTTATACTTAGGAACAAAACAGATCAAAACATTATCTGCCGTAGGTGTTTTCAAGCTTTTGTTTGAGGAAGGAGTTGATTGTTATGAAATCACGATTTTGGTGTTGCCATCCAGCAGTAAAAATTTCTCGAAGATTCTTCTCTTTATCCAGGCATCGGCATTTGTCCCCTTTAAATTAAATTGTGATGTGAGTAGGATTAGCATTATATTAACAGAGTAACAGACCAGAATTCAGTGTTTCCTATGTTAGTGTTATTTCATGTTTTCACATTAAATGTGGCCCACTGTTGACAACTGTTGTCTCATTTGGAATGAGTTTCTCCCTTTAATCTAAGCTCCCTATGTGGTTTTTGTGCATTAATAAATGCAAAAGCTGACGTCACTGATATATTTGCTTTATTTTTTTTNCCCTATGTGGTTTTTGTGCATTAATAAATGCAAAAGCTGACGTCACTGATATATTTGCTTTATTTTTTTTGTTTTTCTCTCTGTTAGTTTTAATTTCGATCTTTATTGGTCAGTCCAGTTCGAATATGTCAGATTTTTACTACAAAATAACAACAACAACAACAAAAAAAACTGCAGAAATCTGGTTTAACTTCTTTCTTTCCCGCCTTTTAAGTAGTAAGATTCTTAGGCGAAATAGATACATGCATGTTTAGGAAAGATTGAATCACAACGAGCGACGCCGAAAACATAGCGATGCATGAACAAAAACATGCCTATCGACAATGCATTAAAAGCAAAGAAAATTAATATTTTCAGTAATTTTGATGCCACTAAAGGGTGACGTGACTAAATCTTACACAAGCGAAGTGACGATAAAAAATCTGTATGTCTAAAATGGATACATTAAAATAATGAAACTCTATCTGTAGCGACCTAGTTCAGGTTGCGCTATGCCAACTTGAAGTTCGCCAAATACTTTCCAGTTTCTTAGCTAGTAACTCACAAACGGAAAATGTTCTGGCTCTTTCAAATTTTCCGTAATGTCCTAAAAAGAGCCAATGTATGATTGCTCACTTATTGATGAGCTGTAACTTCTCAAAGTACGTTATTAGCGAACACAGTTTCTGTTCGCATTTCTTCGTCCTTGTTCTTCTCCTTGCTCGAAAGTTAAAAAGTTTGTAGTCAGGCAACCAAAAACTTCGAATATCTCTTCCTTGGAGGCTTTTATGGATTCTCTCCAGAATACTGTGGATACGCAGAGCAAGTTTGTCAACATTCCAGTAAGATTCCTCAGGATGTTCGAACCATTCGTGTAGAAACATTGTCTTCAG